TTTAAATGTAAATTTAAGTTAAAACCGTAAAACCTAAAATGTTGCTACCGTATTTTTTATGGTAAAATTCCGGCAAACACAGCTGCCGTTTTTTTTACCGTAAATTTTACGGATTTTTTTTTTTTACAGTGTAGGGCTTGTTGTAAAATATGCAAGGTGGTAAAAGGGTACAGTTGATACACCCTTTCTAGGTGGTTAGATTTTTTTATGGTAAAATTCCGGCAAACACAGCTGCCGTTTTTTTTACAGTGTAGGGCTTGTTGTAAAATATGCAAGGTGGTAAAAGGGTACAGTTGATACACTCTTTCTAGGTGGTTAGAGCTACAGTTACATAGTTCATTTAAGAGAATAAAATTGAAATGTATTTGTTTGGACAGGCAGACTAACAAGCAAAATGTAGCATATCCTGTAGACTTTTTAGTTTATGTGTGTGTGCTATGCCTGTTGCAGGATGCCCCGCTTCCGAGTTAGGAGTACGAATAGGGGAGTTGCTGCAGAACTTTTAGATCTTTTGCTCCATCTGTGGCATGTGGTCGCATGTAGAATGCACTGATGGAGGCCAAAACTACATTTGCCACCACTGTAAGTGACAGAGGTGACTGAGTGAGTGTGTAGCCTAGGTGACTGAATGACCTTTGTTTTGTTTTTATGGTTTATTAGGCTATTGTTATTATGTTTTATTTATTATGTTTATTGTGATTGTTTATTAGGTTATTGTTTGCATTTGATCTGTTTTATTATTGCTGTTTGCAATTGTTCAATGTTTTTTACTGTTACACAACTTTTCAACTGTTACTATTAAAATGATGAACTGAAATTAAATATAAATTTTTGCCATTACTGTACAATATTTTACAAATGAACTACTTTTAACTAAACAAATAATCAAATAAAATACTGAACGGAAATAAAAATTGTTGAATTCTCATTTTTAAAAGGTATTTTACATTCGCAATGAATTGGTTAGGCAGCTTTACAGCATTACGGATGGGTGTCTCAACTGTACTAGGGTACTGTTCCAACTGTACCCGACATGGGTACAGTTGGAACAAAAAGCTTCTTATGTTTATGAGCTAATTGAGGCAAATATGTTTATATTGTATTGTATATATTGTGCCTACTTATGGATGTTAATAATTATTAAGATTTTAGTAGACAAGTAAAGGAAATATCATATGAAAAATCCCTTCTTTTCAGTCCCTAGTTTTGGTGTGGTAATGGAAAAAGCAAAACGTGTACCAACTGTACCCGATCTGCCAAGCATAATGAGTGTTGAATTACTACATTACTCCTCTGAAATTGTAGATCTGTTTTGTTCTTCTTAACGTGGGTTTAATCATAAAACATGAATATGACAGCACCATGACTTTCTTCCCTTTATTGCAGCACATTCACACTGAAAGTGTGTAGCCTAACAACTTCCAAGTTTAAACTTTGCAACACTGCCCTCCAGCGGGACTGTAATAGCATCAATAAACAAAAATGTAATTTCTACAGTATATGCACAGGCTTATACACACTCATTACATGGAGACAATATTCACATTACTAATTGCTTTATTTGTAGTCTATTTCAAACTAGTTGGCAGACTTTTTAAAATTAATTTATATGCAATTATTTTATTTCTATTTATTTCTATTCCATTGTTCATATGAACCAACATGCTTATGAAATAACAGAGGTGTGATTAAAATACAGAGATTACAGATTTTATTCAGAAATTATGTTTCCAGTTGTTTTGTTTTCAGATTTGAAACCAGTTGCTATTAAAGGGTTAGTTCACCCAAAAATGAAAATTAGCTTGTGTTTTACTCACCCTCGAGGCATCCTAGGTGTATATGACTTTCTTCTTTCACACGAATCCAGTCGGAGTTATATTAAAAATTGTCCTGGCTATTCCAAGCTCTATCACTGCAGTCAGCGGGTGTTGCAGTTGAACAGTCCACAAGTCGTCAAATAAAGCACGCGCATTCATAATAAACGTGCCTCACACGACTTCGGGAGGTGAATAAAGGTCTCCTGTAGTGAATCCATGCTTTTTTGTAAGAAAAATATCCATATTTCAAACGTAATAAAGACTTTTCTCTCACTTCCGGTATCTTTCATACGCGGAAGACGTTCCGGCGGAAGGCGTATGACGTATGTGCAGCGTGCACGCCTCTGAGATTTCTCGCGAGTTTGTTTATATGAGCAAAGGAAGCTAAGTTTCCTTACTTTAGCAAAGGAAAACAAGTCTCCTCTTGGCTTATATCGAAATCCTCCAACATACTTCTTTACAAATCCTCGTTTTGTACTTCTAATTCTTGACCGTTGTTTCGCCTTGATCTCTCTGCTGCGTTTCCGCGTTCGTCACTTCTGAGCGGCGCATGCGCAAAGCCGACCTCAACCTCATACGTCGTCAGCCCGGAGCTGCTTCCGTGTACAACTGTTGGCGCAAGCTA